TATTTTGCATGTGAAAACATGGGAGTTTTTTAGCTTTAACTTCCTCCATATATATATATATATAAAAGCTTCTGAAACAATTCCTTCTTCGCAATTGCCTTAATTCCATCTTCCTAATTGCCTCTGTTACTAGCCGAACGAACAAGAAGTTCACTGATATGTAACAGTAAGTGATTCTGCAGATCAGAAAAAAGGTCACTGCAAATACCCAGAAAAAATCTATTAAAAAGAACCATGGCCAACCTCCCCTAATAATACAACCAATTCACTAACCCTAGTAGTTAAATACTACCCTCCAGAAGGGTCACAATAGCAGTATTTCCTCTGACCAGGAATAAAAATCTCTCTGATAATTGTTAAGTCCAGTCCATTAAAAGATAAATATAAAATACGCGAAAATATACAAAAAGATACATTTCAAATTTTCTGAAAGATTTTCTAACGCGGCGATGAAGATAGACAGTCATTCCTACCAAAAGATCATGAGCCAAAGTTTAGTAACGTAAAAGCTATAGAACCAGCTACTAATTTTCACTTCCTCTTCTTAGAGGGTGGCTGGGTAACCTCCTGATCCTCCTCTTCTTCTTCCTCTTCATCTTCGTCGTCATCACCATCTTCTTTATCATCATCGTCCTCATCATCATCACTTCCTCCATCACTGTTGGCCTCTGGATCCTCATCCTCTGGGTCTGGATCCTTCCCTTCACCAGAGAAATCTTCATCGTTTTCGTCCTTGTCATCATCATCATCATCATCATCGTCATCATCTTGATCATCTGCATTTTCTTTGTCATCATTGTCCTCTGTTTCACTTGGATATTTGTTTTCTTGATTAGGACTTTTGGTTCTACGCAGCTCATCTAAAAGCAAACCTACAACAAGATGTTGAACTTAGCAATCAATTTTGGTAATGCACTAATATCATTTGGGATCAATCTTGTCTGTAATCAAACTAACACATTTTCAGGAGCAAGAATGGAGATAACTCAGAAACATATGATCTTTGTTGAATATCTGCGGTAAGTTGAATGATTGACATTTGAGAGAAAACTTCAAAACTGAATCAAATCTTTGTTGAATGTCTAGCTGATAAATACCCAACTGATTTTTCGGTCTGTAGATTAGCAGACAAATTCCAATTATCTTGGCTTGCTCGAAGAAGAAGATCAGTAAGGAGTGCATCATTCCGGAGGCAGGCATAATACCTTCATCAAACCATTAATGAAGTTAATTTTAGGGGTTAAATTTAACACACCCTGTTGAAAACTGATTGGGGTCTGTTTTAAAGTCTGTGTTTAACTTTAATTAAGTTCATCAAACAATTGAATGCTCTTGGGTGTTAAATTTATCAAACCTAATATTTTAAAGTCTGTGTTTTTAAATATAAATACATGTATGTATCTACGTGTATATAGCTCCTACCCAAAAGGCAGAACCTTTTGGGCTGTTCAGCCCAGTAGAAGAATCCCCGGCTCATACTTGGGCCGGATGGATTGGGACTGGGCTAGGTCCAGGCCCGATCGATATTGCAATTAATTTCAGCTTGCACATTGTGTATTCGACTCCAACCAAACGCGGTCTTAAAGCGCCGCCGTGCTTCCCTACATTGAAGCTGAGGTAAGGGTGGACCGTAGCCATTTGCAGGTAAACGGAGAAAAAATAAAATAAGCAAGGAGTTTTCAAGCTTTTCTCACCTGCCGAACGACGTTCTCTTCCTCCTCTCAACTGTATAGAAATGCCGAGGAGAAAACCAACCGAAATCCAACTCAAAATCCAAGACAAAGAAGAACTCGAAGAAGCCCGGAAACACCCACTTACTAAGTCCGCCACTGCCACCTCTGCATCCTCTTCCGCTGCCTCCTCCTCCCTTCTCCACCTCCTCGATCCTCACCATAATAGTCCCTCCACCAAATCGCTTCGCATCAGGCTCTCCCCTTAAACCTCATCCTCCGAATCCAAACCCACTTCTCAGTTTACCCTTATATGTCAGCAATGGAAGTCGAAATCAAGCTACGCCTCCCGGACGCCGTTTCCCACCGCCGCCTCACGACCCTTCTCTCCTCCTTCCACAGGAAAACCCTTCACTAGCGAAACTTCTTCTTCGATACTTCACAAAGTGATCTCTCATCTCGTCGCGCCTTCCTCCGCATCCGCTTCTTAGAGAACGACGCAATTCCTCGCTGCATTGTCTCCCTCAAATTGAAACCCACCCTTGTCAACGGCATCAGCCGCGTTGAAGTGGACGACGACGATCTCGATTCTTCCTTAGCCAGAGAATGCGTTGATGACCCTTCAAAGTTGCTTTCCATCGAATCAAGGGTCTTAAAGAGAGTTAGGGAGGAGTTCGAGGTTGGGGATGAAGCGGGGTTCCTTTGCTTGGGTGGGTTTGAGAACGTGAGGAAAGTCTACGGATGGAATGGGGTCAGGCTGGAGGTTGACGAGACGAGGTATGCATTTGGTACTTGTTACGAGATTGAGTGCGAGAGCGAGGAACCTGAGAGGGTCAAGAGGATGATCGAGGAGGTTTGAAAGAGAATGAAATTGGATTTTCTGATTCTGAGACGACCAAGTTTGCTGTTTTCCGATCCGGAAAGCTGCCTCAGTAGGTCAGTTATCCTTTTCCCGTTGCCTGTTAAATTCTTCCTCGCTTTTCTTCCTTTTATTCCTTTGGGTTTTGGACGCATAATGGCATTTAAAAATTCATGCTTTTGTAGAATGGATCATGGCGTGACTTTGTTCAGAGTGGATTTGTGTTTTGCTTTCTGGATAATCTTTGTTTTGGGTGTCAGTTTGGTTCTTGGATGGCTCTAAATTTCTTGCTTACTCTTTCATGTTTGATGAATTTGTTGAATGTTGATGGGTGGTTGGTATTTTTCTGTTTGTGCAAATCTTCTTTTCTTAATCATTGAATTAGATTAACAAAGTAACAATTAGTAGAACCAGTGATAATTTTGTAAATGCATTCCCCATTTGTAAAAGAAAATGGAATTTGAAATTTCGATCTGTGATTGAAGATTTGTAGCCCTCTGCGAAGATTTTCATTTACCTATTACCGACATTTTTACTAGTCTTTGTTTTACTCCTTTTGGATCTTATGGAGAAAAGAATAAACTTTCCTTGCTCTAGCCTTGGAGAAGGAAGAAAAGTTCCCAGTTTGTTCATTTCCGATTCAGTTCCTATATAATCCTGTTTCTCTTAGTCTTGAAATATATATTTCGAACATGATTTTTATTTTTTTAAGAAGTTGGAAGAGAAATCCCATAATTCAAGCTGGGTGTGACGATTAAAATTTATGTTATAGTTATAATTAACAAGTTTAACATGAAAATTAGAGCTAGGAATTGAATGGAAAATGAACCCAGTAGGCCATATAAAGTTAATTTGCTGACTTTCTTTTTAGCTTTTGGAAATAATGGTTCTGCCCTGCCTCTGTTGAGATTTTTGTAATTTGAAGACAGCATGTATTTTGAATTACAAACCTTGAGTAGTTGCCTCATTTGCTTTTTTTTTTTTTCAAAGATGATGAATAGAAAGGGAAAGAAGTCTGTGTTATTCATTATGCTGCTTTTCTATTGATGCTAGTTGCTATGGATCTATGATTTCTCTCTATTTTTTCTTCCTGTTAGTTTAGTTTATTACAGTTTTTTGCTTCGCAATTATTATAGTGGCTAATTTTTTAGTTTGATCCATTTGACTAGGACTGTTATTTTATGGTAAAATATGCTGTTGATCTATTAGATGAGATAATGAATATAATATGATCCATTCCCTGTTCATGCATCGGAATACATATTTTTTGTTGTATCACCTATGAAGATTTATCCCAATCAAGAAACTACCAAGTGTCCTGCATTTCTTTTGCTGTGTTTCAATTATATCTTAAATAAGTGAAATGAGTTGTATGCTATTCTCCTAACTTTTCTGAAGCCCGTTACTCGAGTTCTGGTCTCCACTGAAAGGGGTAGTAAATATACCTTAAACCGCTTTGAGTAGTCTGTTTCTAAATAATATTTGCATATGTAGCTCAATGACTTGGAAGCAGAGAAAATCGGCTCTGCTCCATTTGCTTTTGTAGGTCATCTGCCAAGATGAGCATTGATGGGTTATTTGTTGGGGCTGGCAATGAAATGAGGTTTTGACATCGACATTCCTCCGCAATCCGGTGATCATTTGCTCCCACTGCCCCTCATCTTAGCTACCCTCATGGTGCCCTATCTGTTTCATGCTAGTATGCAATAAAATACGAAATTCTTATCATCGTGTTCTCGTTTGAAGTTCAGGAACAAATTTTTTGATTTGGGTATTTGCAATAAATTTCTATGGTTATTATCTCTTGCAAATTTGTTTTGTCAATAATATATCGAGCCATGGTTACGCAGGCATCTAAAAAGCACTAGCTTAGTGAATGACATACTGGAACCGGAGTTCAAATGTTAGTTCGAATTTTATTTTATTGCTCAAGCTTATGTCATCAAAATAAACTGAGTTTACGTTTAATTTTATTAAAAAAAAGTACTTAAGGAGCTTACTCTAAACGAATTCAATCTCGAAATAAGATATATTTGATCGAAGCATATGAACTCTAGCTTAATAAGTTTCGATACTTTAATAAACTAAATAAGTACAGTTACTTTATTAATAAATAGACAAATGAGTCTGACCTTTCAGACTAAATATTGTCAAAGTTTTATTCCAATTTAGTTAGTTAAATACAATTTACAGACATGTGTGACTAATTGCTAACCCTAATTTTACCTATTCAACTCTTCTTCGGGGGGATGATTAGCCAACAGTGTTTGTGGGCAAATTGAATGGTTATTGAATTCCATGAATGCCTTAAAAAGAGTTTTTGAGCTTTAACCTCCTGGATATATTATTTACCTCTGAAACAATTCCTTCTTCCCAATTGTCTCCACAACCAGCCTAGTCAGTAGAGAGCTCACTGAGATATAATGGTAAGTGATTCTGCATATCAGTAAAATATCGAAAGGCCATTGCGTAATTACGCAGATCAGTAAATCTCCAAACAGCCATTACAAATATCCAGAATTCTGTTAAAAATAACCATGACCAGCTAAAGCTCCCTGATAATACAACCAATTCATTAAGCCGAATAGTTAAATACTACCCTCCGAAAAGGTCACAATAGCAGTATTTCCTCTACCCAGGAATAAAAATTTCTCTGATATCACCGGGTGAAGCCTCAATTGATACTGATTAAATAGGAGGTGTCATTAAATTAACATGAGAAAAACATATATAACAACAATCAGTAACCACATAAATACTAACAATATGTTCGTTCAGAACGACATTGGTAATCACCTACTCTATAATGCAGACAGACAATCATCCTACCAGAAGGTCCTGAGCCGAAGTTTAGTAACAGAAAAGCTACAGAGCCATCTACTATTTTCACTTCCTCTTCTTAGGGGGTGGCTGGGGAACCTCCTCATCCTCGTCCTCTTCTTCCTCTTCATCGTCGTCGTCCTCACCATCTTCATCAGCATCATCTCCGTCGTCGTCGTCCTCGTCATCATCATCACTTCCTCCATCACCGTTGGCCTCTGGATCCTCATCCTCAGGGTCTGGATCCTCCCCTTCACCAGAGAAATCTTCATCATTTTCGTCATCGTCATCATCATCATCATCTTGATCGTCTGCATTTTCTTCGTCATCATCGTCCTCTGTTTCGCTTGCATCTTTGTTTTCTTGATCAGGACTTTTGATTCTATGCAGCTCGTCTAAAGGAAACCTACAAAAAGAAGTTAGACCAAGTAAATTTAGCTGAAGCCTTGTTTGTTTAGTAATATGGTAACTAAAGAAGAAGCAAGATGGGAAGTCTGTTACCTCTCATCCATAGCAATCAATTTCGGTGATGCACTAATATCGTTCAAGATCAATCTTGTCTGTAACCACATTAGCACATTTTAGGAGCTCAAATGCAGATACCCCAAAAAATAAAAGTTTATTAAAAAATCCGAGGAATGACTTATATTTCTTCCTCTCTTAGAAAGATTTGACAGAAATCACTAACAACTACTTGTTTTAACACGTCCAACAGTGACGTAAACATGGAGCAAGCAATATATCTCGTTCAAATAAACCAAATTTACCACATGTAACCATTTTCACATTTATTACTGCAAAGTAAAAGTTTAAATTTACAACGGAAAAAATCTCAGCTATGGGAATAATGTAGAGTTAACAGCCATGGTTACTCAATATTCATGCAAGCAGCTCAAGAAGATATCAACTCAAGATTAAACATGCAGAAGAACTTAGTCCTGATGTGAAAGCAACAGGAGTTTAACTTATAAGAGAAAGAAAAGGCAGTTAAAGTCAAGAGTCGTACACAAAAATTCAGCTATTCTCTTTTAAGGCAGACTGGAATTAGAAAATAGAGGGTCTACCTATCAGCAGCAAGGAGAATCTTTAACCGTCAAGGAACAATATAAAAGCAGAATAGTACTGATTGATTACTACTGAAGACATTAATTTTAATTTGGAGCAAGTATCTGGCACCCAAAACCTCTACCTAAACTTAATTATTGCTTCTAAAAGTTCAAAGCCATCATCTAACAGATATATACCATCGCTTTCTACACTTCTAAGAAGGGAGGTATCACATTAATTACAACAAAATACCACACAACTCCCAAACCCATTTCAGGCAAGTACAAATTATCAA